CAAAATGCACATTTTAAATTAAAAGGGATAAAAAATAATTCCAAGCCAATTGAAAAATCTTACGATTATTGTGATCTCGTCGCGAACCATTCCATGAGACCGTCATCATAGGATTTCTCCCATCATTCTAATTGAGCTAAAGCAATTTCGTACTGTTTTGTTAATGACTTTAGCAAGTTGAGCCGGAGATAAAGGTTGTGATCTCCGTGGCTAGATTGTTTCGCTCTCTCCATAAATGATAAAGCGAAACTTGGAAAGTATATCTGATGAGAAAGATTATGATATGGCTGAAGCTTCCATTGTTGAGCAAGGAGACTAGTTCGTCCCAACTAGTGGTATAGTGATTTTACAGCAACCTCCGCACAAGTACATTCCAAACTTGCGATGAAAATCTACATAAGAAAAAGAGATGAGTTCGCGATTCCTCTGCACTATTACATAGAATACAATTGTGACGACCAGTCCAGATTTTTGTTCTATCACCGTAGATAATCAATCGAGCAGCGTAAGCCAACTAAAAAACGAATACTTTGGTGTTGCGTGGGTAAACCACACAACGAAATACCAATTCTGTGTTGGCTTGCGTGTTCTGATTAGATCTCATGTTTCTTTCGTCGTAAATTTTTGTAGGTATTATTAATATTATATAATATATTGTATACACGATGTAAAAAAACTAGAATCACACAATTGATTTATACTAGATCACTATTCAAAAAAATCTTGTATGCAAGTGAAAAAAAAAATATCAAAGAATTGTTTAAACAAAAACTAAAATTAAAGTCCGAGAATAATTATTTATCCTAATCATGGTGGTGGGTCTGACCAAAGATTATATTGGTCTCTAGATCTTTAAATTGACGGTTGTGGCTGATTTGAAAACTAAGAGCCAACTAACCCTAATTTCCATATTTGGTTTAAGCCTTAATTAATGATTAGTGGTCACAAGCTATAGTGGCCCTAGGACATATGGAATAGTGGCAAAGACACTCTGTTTTTATCTTACTATATAATGAAAGCTTTTTCATGGTAGTATAGTTGATAATTATAAAAGTTGTAGCTCTTGAGGAGTTTAAAGGGTGGCTAGACCGCTTGAAGCTAGATTATTTATTAATTAAAAATTTAGAAGACTGAGAAAGTGACATAAATAATGTTATGATATGATAAGCACCCAATGGTCTTGGAATACTTAATGCCTGCTCTCGCTGTCGATCAATATGTACTTAGGCTTTTAACATATATAGGTCTCGTTTTCTCAAAAATTAAAAACAATTATAGGTCTTCATAGGTACGTTCATTAAAGGTCAAGTGTGATTATACTAATACCGTACGATCAAGCAATATTTATTCGTTTAGTTTATTTTTCCTTTTCCAAATCGTACAATAAGTTAATAACTAAAGCTGTTAATGTTTGGGGCATTAGGTGAACGAACTAAGTAAATGAACCACCAAATTTGTTAAACTAGATTTTGACCGCGTCCGAGCGCGGAATAAATAATTAGGTTGACTAATCGATTTTAACATTTAAACGTGTATTTAAACGTGTATGACAAATC